ATTCACAGAGCAGGTTACCTGCACCGTTCGCATCCCCAGTGGAAAAAAAAGAGTAGAGCGTGAGCAACTTTCGTAGGAAGCGAAAATTATATATATATATATATCTAAAATATGTTCATTCATTCTTTTGGTCGAGGTCAATCTATCAGTAAAGATAAAGCCAAACAATCCTGAGACTCAACGATTTAGAGAGGCCAAATTAGTCCTGAGACATGTATATCAAGACGTTTCCGTGTCAAGGCCGATTGTTCTGTGAAGTTGGCGCCTATACTTGTGGTGACTACACTGAAGTTGGTCCACCCAATTCATATAGAAGATTAACTTGAAAAATGCCCAAGCCAACAGCTGGTTTCGTAGACTCACTTCTGGTTGACCAAGTCTCGGTTCGAAAACCTCTGAAGGCGCCTGACAGAGATGGCGCTTTGGAAGCCAGGCTTGGCCAGAGGGAAGTGGGATCGTGTGGGATCAAAGACGGCTGTTTCAAGAAATCCCAAGCATGCTTTGAGAGTGATAGACAAGGACAGTGTTTCTTCTCCGCAGGCTGCAAGCAATGGAGCAGCAGTTGATAGACAAGGACACTGCTGCATCATCATAGACCTGCTGCATGCACAAGAAACCTGTTGCATTTTTGTTGGGTCTCGTTCTACATTCTACAGACTGCTTTCCCTTGAACAGTTTCAGGATCTTGAAATAGCTTCTTTGAAGCAAGCCTTGCAAGAGGCAAGGCAAGCAGCGCAAGCAGCAGCTTCTGTGCAGGCAACAAAGAGTGAATTCATCATGTCATTCTTGCTACAGTGGTTTCAGAGTAGATGGCACAATCCCCAAAAGGTGGTTTAGATGGACCCCTATACAAAAAACATCTTGGGGTGCCAGTGCCAACCTTTCAAGCCACTGAGTATTCTCACCATGGACTGTTCGGCTCATGGACTTCGGCGGCTCTTCCGACCTTGCGATTGGACGGTTGAAGGCTAAGCTGGGGCAAGGCTGCTGTGTGTGCGGAAGAAGCTCATGAGCGACGATGTTGCGAAGGCAGCACCATGGAATCGACCGGTGACGCGGCATCAAGCGATGACCTCGGCGATGTGTGTTGTCAGTGTTTGTCAAGGCCAGGAGCGTCAATCGAAGCAAAAAGCAGGCTTAACTCACAAGGAAGACATGTTGTTCGAAGAGAAACACTTTGATAAGGAGTTGAACAATACATGTGTGTTTGTTGATATTCCATGTGTACATTTCATGCCCGCTCCGTTTGTCATCCGGGGACATTGAAGGAACTTGATTCTGCTTCACAGACCGTCACGAATTGAAGTGACTCAAGTTGAGTCGCAGTATTGGGCAGAGAGACTTTCTCAAGCAAATCGGGGTTGATTGCCACATGTCGGGGTTGACTTAGAACTTACAACTTATGTATGACTTTATATATATAACCAACTCCCGTAGTGACAGTATTGACTGTATTGTAAAGTAACAAAGATGCATATTGTTTGAATTACTAAAATAGTACGAGTAAGTGAGTGGAGGTTTGCGGTTGCTATTGGTATCTATTGGTCATAAACCTCGGCTACTGACAGGCTACGGGAATCCAGGAACATGACTCTCTCCTTAATCTTCATTTCCACAAGCTGTAGCACGGGGGAACACACCTGCCAAGGCTCTTGGTAATAGTTATTTTTGCGCCTGATATATAGTTCCACGGCACCACTTCAGGTTTCACGATCAAGTGCTCCAGATCTTCCTTCCAACCACTCGATCCCCGGACGTAATTGAATCTCATCTTCAGAGGAGACACCCATGTGCTGGGCAAACATCGCTCAGGTTCGCACCCAGGCCGAAGGGGAAGTGCCAATGGCACCACCAGTGTCACTGGTCTGGCGACACCGATGCTTTCAGAGCCGTGTCTTCGGACCAATGGCCATGTATGTGTAAAATCTTTTAAAACCAGGTGGGCTGACATTTGCATAACTGCAGGCCGTCACCCTGCCTCCCAGCTCAGAGAAATCCTGCTGATATATGTCAGATCATTGTTTCGTTTCACAATATTTTTGCCCAGGAAGCATGGCATTCTCTGAATTTTTGCGTCTTTACCCCATGCCGGCATGCTCTCTCTCTCCCCGACCATGGGAGCCAAAGAACAGTTGTCCCAAGTGCGGACATTGAAAAAGATGTATAACAGATCGGATCATGGTACCGCCTGATACGGGTAAAGCCTACTGGTGCCTTTGCACCCAGACACTTTCAGATACGTTCAAGGCGGGTCAAGCTTAATTAAGGTTTTTAAGCATGGCAAGCAGACTCAGAACATGATTGCTATATTCTGATGCATGAATCGACCATTGGCCGTAGCAATTTGAGGAAACAAGTGCAGTTTTTTGGTAGTTTGTGAGGGTTGGCACTCCTGCAAAATTATTGCGACTCTTCTGAACAGTGAAGCATTCTGATGCATATGATATGGGCAGCAACTACAAGAGCAGAACTCTAATTTGGTTTACTGTTGCTGGCTTCAGTCATTGCTAGTGGATTTTCCTTGGTCCTTCTTGATAGAGCAAGAAAGCATGCAGGGGCACCTGAGCTGCACTAAGGGAAAGAACTGCACGGGCATTTCCGCATTAAGTTTCTGAAAAATACTTAACACAAACACAGTATGAACAATGCTATTATATAGTAACAGCTGACCTTGTCATGATTTGTCGCAAGTGCTTTCTCAGATCTGTCAAGGTTGTCCCTTGTCTTGCAAATGCTTGATTTATTTCCTGTCCTTTGGATATGGTGATCATAGAAATGTTCCGCAGAAATGCTTGACATGACAGCTTTTCAGTGACGGTAGTATGCATTAGTAGTGCTTTGTGTGGATGGTCGGTTAATGTTGTTGCTGCATGCAACTGACATCTCTCACACTCGCACACACCTGAATGACCCATGGTTGATGTAGTGGCTCTACATGAATCTGAAAGAGAGAGAGTATCAGTATAATAACCACTTACAGTATGTAATTCTGCGCGTTTAACTGGCATGATTCTATGGGTGAATTAATAGCTCTGCGGGTCAAGAAGTGCACCGAAGTCCTAGGAGAAGTCCGCCCAGCATCCACTTGGTGCCTCCCAGCTTCAAGGAAGCCTCATGCTCAGATTTCGGTCCGTTCTGAATTGTAGATGGTCAAAGGAATGGCGATTCCAGGTCGCTCTAGTCTGCACGCCGGCATGCCGGCAATGGGCCACTGTATCCATGTCTTATGTAGATGGTTGCGTTCTTGTGGAATCCCGGCCACTGGCCCGAAGGGCATGGAGAATATACTTGTAGGAGAAACATGATTTGATGGCTTTGAGAGAACTTCCTGGGTGTTCTTGGGTGCTTCAGATGATTTGCATAGAAACTGCACCGAAGAAGAATTAAAACATCAACGCCACTTTGGGACTATTTGGGACTAGTGATTCCTGGAGTTCCGAGGGCGAGAGCCGGTGTTCTGATGGGTTGAAAGAGTTCAACGCACGGGTACTTTGAAGCTATTAGTAACAAGTGCCACGCTAGTAGTAACAGGTGCCTTACTAGTAGTAACAAGAAGCTATTAGTAACACAAATCGTTTGGGTCGATCCAGCGAATCGGTGCCTTGGATTGTTTCAAGATTCACGAGTGTGCGTCCTCTCCTCTCAGACTCCAACCCCTTTGTGGTTTTCCCATTTTTGCACTCTATGTGTCCTTTGCGATTCCATAGGATCCTCTTAGGTCCCTGGAATGATGATGGAAAGAGATCCATTGTCAACCAAGGACAATCAAAGGGGAGCATGACAGGACTCAAAATAAGACCACAAAAACGTCAAAGGGGTGCTGTTGATTACGGTCTAATGAGTCTAAGTCTTCTTGAAAGTGGAAGCAACAGGGAAAACCACAAGGAATCAAAGGAAACCTGTCGGAAAACATTTCTATTGTGGACTACTCCACTGGAGAAAAGCGGTTTTTTGCATGCTTTGGAGTCAGATGAAAGAGAATCATGAAAGGAAACACTGTCAGATTCTCCAGAACTTGGAGTGCCATAGAAGTAAACAATAAACATTGTTAATGAAAGCAAAGCGAAGTGGAGACCAGTGGACCAGCAAGCAGACATCACCCACCCATTTGGTTTCTTTTTTTTCGTTGCCACTTTGGTCATTTCGTTGGAGATAGACGATCACCGGTCTTTTCGATCACTGGAGGCCGAAAGCCAACCCTTCCACAGTGACTCTCCTGGCCGCTCACCAGGCCGCCATGGGCGCAGTTGTGCGCATTTGGTTTGAACAATTTTGGAACTCCAATTTGCAACAAAACATATTCACCACAATCCTTCGACCTAGATTCTTAGGGTGTGTTATTTGTTGATTAACAGTTCAAAAAGATATTGCCATTTCGTCCGAACATTTTTTTTCTGTAATTTCTTTGCCAATTAAAACACGGAGTTTCTAAAAAGATATCTTAGGCGCTTGTTCTTTCATATTCTTTCAACATCTCGAAGTGGCGTTTGAGAAGTAAAGAGCATACGCAGATAAGAAGATGAGAGTGTTCCTTTTGCCACATGCATGTCGTCCATGTTAGATCAGTTGGTCATGCCGTCCTGTCCTTTGTCATGTCTTGCCTTGGATTTGTGGAAGTGATCCCCATTTCAGTTTAGGAAGTCTCAAGATGACTTCCAAGTTTAGTTGGTATCTACTTCTACCCTGTGGAGGAACTGGCCCCCAGCAAAAAGCGTGCTCCTACTGAACCGGTTGAACCTCCTTCCATGCTGGGCTCGATGCCAGGCTCAACCACTGCCCCTGGGGAGTCACCAACATCACCAGGTGGGCGAGCTCAGAGGCGTTGGTTGCGGCTTTGGGAGCAGGGCGTCTCTTTGTGCCAAAGAGAGAATGACAGAATGACTATCAGATTCAATTTGGCTCCTCCATCCTTGGCTTTTGCGGTTCCGTGGCAGGATTTAGTGGATTGGTCAAGGGATGTACAGTAATTGGAGGGTCAAGTTCTGAGAGCACTACGTTTGTTTCTTCAGACAGCCGGCAGCCGATGTGCCGAGGCTTCAGCCCCTTGCCCTCCCCGCGATCACGGAGGTGCATCTCACATTGGTTACATGATTCTCCACATTCCAGGTCGGTCAGTCAACCGGCCCAAAATACATGATGAATGCACCCCCCAAAAGAACAGAAAAACAAAACTATCCGAAAACAGTGGTGGTCAAGCCTTGATACTTGAGCATATTTTGGCTGCTTGGGAGAGTATGCGGTGGGAGGCCCGGATCCAAGACTGTTGTTCCTTTTCTTGCAAGGCCTTCCGTGGATCTGCGAGAGCTGGACTCGGAAGGCTGGGTTGGTCTGAAGCCGCCGGTGATCCTTGAAACCGAACTGACACGCTTTGAATCTGAAGACTTGTCCAAATTTATGTTTAACGACCAACTGGTCAAGTGAGAATCCTTTGTCTTGAGGCGATGTGTATTCAGCTGTGGAAAGCCCAGACTTCCAGGAGTCAAAGTGTGGTCACTTCTGTTGCCCGCCCTGCCAAGAAGTATGATACCTCGATAGACACTTCAAAAACTCCCATATGCCACTGCCAGTTAGCTACTGTTAGCATTTGCTAGCTACTCTTTGCGTTCCGCGGATTCTGCCCGTGGTCGCATCAAATCCCGAGCTAGCTTTTGACCTCCAACACGCTGTAAATCTGCCGCATACCAGAAAGATGGCTGGGTCCACCAGCAAAGTCTTTTGAGACGGCTGGATCCGTTGTTCCAAACATGGGGATTTTGTCATGTCATGGTTCATAGGCAGGCTTGGCGTAATGCAGGCACGTTTGGAGAACTAGTCCCTTAAACGGCTAGGTGCAGGTGTAGGTCTTGTCCATCCGAATCGGATGTAGTCCGCCAACATTGCTATGTGAGCCACCACTTTTATTTAGGCTTTACTATTAAAGTAGTCTACGGAGTCTACGGCATGCTCTATTTGCTTGTCTATCATCAGTATTCGCTTGTGAACGAGATAAAGCCCCCACATAAACGAGATGCTTTTGCTTGATGACACTAAAGTAGTCTGAACGAGATAGTGCGATCTGCTATTAAAGTAGTCTGAACATGTCTGAACGAGATACTGTGGCATGACCTCCTACTTAAGTAGTCTAAACGAGATAGGACCCCCGCATAATACGCATATAATAGATATCAGATCAGATAGTGTATTTGAGTTTAGTACCAAATAAATGCCGCTGCACATGTGTTTCAAATTCTAGACTCCACTTCTATTTTGTGCTCCAACAGTCTTGTCACCTGTTAAGAAATGCATAATTGCCAGTCGGCAACTTGCCTCTTCCTTAAAACTTTGGCTTGGGCGACAGATGGCGACATGTGTTTTCTTCTTCTGTTTTAAAGTATGGGTGAACTCCAATCTGCGCAGAGGGGGGAACTTCCTGCTTATGTGTAAACTCTGTGTAAACTACATGTCAGAACTCAATTCCAATCAAAACCATCCATTTACGATGTTTTTGTAGGACAAATCGAGCTTTTGCAGGACTGCTCAACATTGCACGATGCGCTCCAAGAGTCCTTAGACTCCATGACCGGCGCATGCAGCCGGCTGCGGGGTGATGATATGATCAGTGTCCGGGCACCCCAGTGGCACCAGCACCAGTCGAGCCGAGGGAGCCGAGCACGGTGAGTTGAGCAAGCAAGCACTCAGCAGACTCGTTTCGATGTCCGACCGTCCTGAGTTGAACTAGGCGGATGAATGCGGAACAGTAAACGTCATCTCAATCTGCTCAACACCCGTGTTTCACGCTGGGTTGAGGTGATCGAAGATGGCGAGATGACGGTTGCTTGACTGGGTGAATTGAGGATGGAATGACATGTTTTGGATCCTTTCAGAAGGCAACTCATACAAGTCTTAGACAATCCATTATGTTTTCTTTTAATACATTACGTAAGTGAAACATTGCTGATTTAACATTTCTTGGCCACCCGGCTACCCCCAAATCAGTTGACAAATGACAAATCACAACAAATCTTGATTATCTTGATTCAGGTTAGACGTAATGGACGCTGGCCACCACTAGATTTATTTTGAGAGGTTTGGTGTTGTAATGCTTGGCTATCTCTGATTTTACTTTGATCTTTACGTTGGCTTCCCTGGTTCTGTTCCATTTTTGGGGGGCTCAACCATGCTCAACCTTACGGGGCCCTGGCCATCATAACAGGTCTATATTTGGCTACCATTTGGCCAACTTTTCTGGACACTTGCACTTGGACATCTTGGATTGGGTCATCCACGGGTGACAGCTGGCTGCCCGTACTTACCATACAACTGAGTACAACTGACTGATCTGTGCAGACCCTGCACTTGCAAGTCTTAATGCTTCGTTGGACGCGTGTGCATCAGAGGAACATCCAATGCAATCACCAAACTGCTCGACTTGAATTGCAGAACGCAGAGTCAGAGTGCATTTGTGAGAAACTTGGCGTGTTGACAAGTGTTCGAGGATGGCCCATTTGTCAAACTCAGGATGCCTCAAGTTATTGTCTCGTGGCCCATCTTCGCCATTTCTCCTGCTCCACAGTCATGATGCAGCTTTCAATTTGCCCCAAGCTGAATAGGACTCCCTGGACTGAAGCTGAAGTTAACTTGCTGCTGGGCACCATCATCTCACCAGCAATTCAAGTCGTTTGCTCTCTTCTCTTATTGTGGCCTGATCAATGCGCCCTTTGTTTCGGTCTTTGGGGCTCCCTTTTCAGATCTTTCAGTGGGCGATGTCTAAACGGGCAGGTTCTTGCATTCGCGCCTCCAAGAAGATTCGAAGAACAGGCCTTGGGGGCATCTCAAATCATGTGCAAGCCACTGTCATTGTGGTGATACCCAATTGTGTATTACAAGTGCTCGGCAACCATTGGCAAACTGGGTTCTAGGATGTTCTAGTCCATTTTGGCTCGTCCTGCAGTTCTTGAGCATTTACGTTCCTTTGTTCCAATAGCATCTACCCGTACCCTTTGATTAACAGATTATGACAACAGTATCACAATAGTTTCCTTTGTCTTTTTTCGAAGGGTGGGCACTGGAGCTTAGACCCAACTGTACAAGACATCCCTGCAAATGAACGTGTTCCGGCAAGGAGATTGCTCGCAGCTTAGACAGACATCGAGCTGACATCTTGAAGGGTTGTACATGGTCATGGTTGCAATATGTTGCAGCCTTTGTATTCTTGATTCAGAGGAGTGCATGAGTCGAGTCTGTACTAGTACATACGAGTGTCAAGGAAAAACTGCGCAGTTGCTTCCGTAGGTTCCGACGTGGTGCCTAGGCCAGATCGTTGAAACGCAGTGAGAATTTGGCTGCGGACATCCTCGCGATGGACGACAAGGCTTTAAGCCGGCATTGTCCCTGGCCACAGCCAGCTTTAATTCTCATCTATTGAATGACAAGATGTGCGATGAATTGGGAGGATATTAATTACTAAATTTAATTAATGATAGCACACTAGCATATATAGACTATTATATTCTACTACACTGTAGATCTACATTATTTAGTAAGAGATCGTGCAAATTGTATACAACGTGTATATAATATACAACAAATTCAGCAAATTTGAGATATTGTGAGCCTTACACGGGCGTCGACTGTTTTTGGTTGCGCAGTAGTAGCCCCTGTAGGTTCAGATCGTGATGCCACACAGTTACACTGGAGACACTAAAGCAGATTGCTCCAGGTGCCATACAGCGGGGACAGCACCAACAGGCAGAATTTGTGGAGCGAATCATTGGCTTTCCACACTTGAACCCAGTAAATCAATGCTTTGGAAAGGGCACTCCATTCATCTCCATTCATATTTTGCAGCACTGCAAAGGCTTGAGACCAACAAGAATCGTTGAAAGGTCGGGTTTGACATGTTTGGGACCAACCTAAAGAGTGTTCAGCAAGCTGTAACTAGAAGCTACTAGGTGGAGGCCATCGCTATTAGGTTGGAGGCCATCGCTACTAGTAGGTGGAGGCCATCTACTAGCATCAAAACAGCGTTCTAGTAGCTAGAAGCTACTAGGTGGAGGCCATCGCTATTAGTAACTAGATGTTACTAGGTGGAGGCCATCGCTATTAGGTTGGAGGCCATCGCTATTAGTAGCAATAATGCTTTCTAGCAACTAGAAGCTACTAGGTGGAGGCCATCGCTATTAGGTTGGAGTCAATCGCTACTAGAAACAATAAAGCTTTCTAGTAACTAGAAGCTACTAGGTGGAGGCCATCGCTACTAGTAACAATACAGCTTTCTAGTAACTAGAAGCTACTAGCTGGAGGCCATCGCTATTAGATTGGAGGCCATCGCTATTAGTACCAATAATGCTTTCTAGCAACTAGAAGCTACTAGGTGGAGGCCATCGGTATTAGGTTGGAGTCAATCGCTACTAGTAACAATCAAGCTTTCTAGTAACTAGAAGCTACTAGGTGGAGGCCATCGCTATTAGGTT